TTTATTCAGTTCATTACAATTAATTTATGTTATTGGTCCTTTGTAACTGTGTGCTGTCATGTTATGTTTTGTACTGTTTTATGCTGTCTATGGATTTTAATATGATGTAAGCCACCCAGAGAGCCTATGACTGGTTGGGCAGCAGATAGATAGATAGATAGATAGATAGATAGATAGATAGATAGATAGACAGAAAATTTTCACAATCCTTTTCTTCATCCATAAAGCTCTCATTGTTATAGTTCCATCTAATATGAGCCAATGGGAAAATGCATCTGGTTTAATGACTTTTTTTTCTAGCATAGTTAATCATACTTTAATACAGTCTAAATACCTTTAAATTAATTGAGGAAACTTATGATTAGGCATTTCCCTTGTGTAATAAATTATAAAATGGTGGGCTGGGGCAATGAAGGTGATTGTTCACACATTACAATAATTCAAATAGCTTCCTTGCTTGAGAAAAAAAATGTAGGTACATTTGGCACCCAAACAGTTACAAATATTAAAGATGTTAAGAAAATGAAAAACGATTCACCTGGATTTGGCCATTAATACATGTAAAGATTAAAGTTACAAGGAGGCAATTTCCTGGCTACATTTCCAGAACAAGTTACTAAAAAGGAATGTTTTTGTTATCCTACACAAGTTAAATGTGTGTATCTGTAGAGAGCAGGCCTCAAAAATTATCATCACTAAGCATTACTTGTAATAATACTTCAGTATAATAATAATACTAGTATTAGAACACTATATAAGTAATTCAAATTATTCATTATAGGGCACTTTCAATGTTCTTTTCATTCAAGTGGATATTTTCATATGGAAGACTACTCTGATGATTACAAATTATGAAAACTACATTAAATTCCATTATATCACAAGATATGTGATTAGGCCTATCAGTTAGTAAATAACATATAAATATAATATTGGCACTCTAGATGGTTTAGAGCAAGGTATTGGAGAGGAACATGGAATGAAAATGAAATGAAAGTTAATTTCTCTTTTCTGTCATAGAAAAGGGTCAACTTCTGATATCTTTCCCTATATACACTCCTATAGTAGGTGTAAAAATATCTGTCCAAGTTACTGGGATCATGGAGATGTAGAAAAAGTACTTGCAGCAGTTTGAGCAACCACATGCCTTTTCAATCTTTGTACATCTGGGCTAACAAAAGTTATGGAGAAAAGTTTCAATGATGCTACCACTTTCAAAGAAACCCACTCTGGGTGCAACAGACTACTGCATGGTCACAAATGCCACCTTTTGAAGAAGTTACTTGAGATGGTCATGGTGGAGCAACTGCAGACATTCTTGGAGGATACAGCAAATGTAGAGGCATGCTAGTAAGTATCTCAAAGTACAGGTCTGAATCACCCTCAGTTGACCTGATTGATGATGTTTATTGAAATAGGGACAGGAAATGCAAACTCAATTAAATTTGCTTGATCTTTTATTGGTTTCTGATGCCACCAATGGTAGTATTCTCCTGTACTGACTCTTTAGGCTGGGTATTTGACCCACTATATTAAAGTGGTTCTGCTGTTACCTATAGGGTCAATGTCAAAAAATATGATTCAGTAGTCATTCTGCAGACTTTGGAAACTGAGCTACTGGGTTCCCTGAGGTACCATCTTGTACCCATTGTTATTAAGCATCTATATGAAGCCACTGGGAATGGTCTTCAGGTCATCTGGAACAATGAATCAGTTATCTGATGGTACTCAGTCCTATATCCCTGTGATATCTAAATCACATCAGTATGTATAAGTCCTGTGTCAGTGCCTGGACTGATGGGCTGGATGAGGGCCATAAATCCTGGCATGATGTAAGATCTGTGACTGTGTAAATCCAAATTGTAGGACATAAATTTATTGTCTGTTCTGGATATGGTTTCACTTCCCTTGAAAGATCAGTTTTGTAGTTCGAGAGTATTCCTAGATATATTATTGTCACAGGATTTCCAGATAACTACAATGGTGTGGAGTGTCTCTTGCCAGCTTCAACTTGTTTACCAATTTCATACTCTGCTCAGAAGGGATACAGTGGTAATGCACTCTATATGAGGGTATCGTTAAGTCTGATCTAGAAGTAGGTACTCATACAGCATGTAACAGCCTAACTATTATTAGGATCCACCTCTTTTCAGCTTATAACTCCTTTGCTGAAGGAATTGCACTAGCTTTTCTACTTACCTAGGTTCAAGGTTTTGATATTAGTGTATAAAGTCCTAAACAATTTGCAAATAAACAAATCTGCAAAAACTTTTTCTCTCTTACCAACCTGTCTGGTTACTGAGTTCACTGAATGGCACATTCTGGGTGGTTTCACAATTGGAGCCCATCTGGAGAACTCCTTAGGAACTCAATTGCTATGGAACTCCTTGACTCTGGAGGTCAGATAGCTCACAACATTGTATTGACTTTGGGAGCTCCTGAAATACCAGGCACCTTTCTTGATCTAGCCTATCATGGTTTTATTGATATGTTTCATTCTTGCATTTTTAATCTTATATTGTTCACCATCTAAAACATTCTATATTATTTGTATTAAATAATATAAATATTATATCTGTGTCATCTGGAATAGGGAGCAGTCTACAAATATTGTAAATGAATAAAAAGAAATAAAAAATAAAGCAACCCTTGTTCCAGCTTTATCCCATTTCAGAGGATGTTTTAACAATCATGAGGGCAAATTGCCTTCCACTGATGTAAAGCATCTGACACCCCTGACATTTCATATCCAGAGACACCTGAGGGAGGGGTCGTTGTGGCATTAAGCATGATAAAGCACCTTTGGCTCAAGATTGCATGAGCATCCAGGAGCCCAGAATATCCACACTATGCCTAATACATTCCTTGTGACAGCAGGTGACAGATACCTGCTCTGCTTCAGATTTGTTACATGTTTTGCAGGAGCCTCTGGACTCTCCAGTTTTATATTTTGTGGCTCTTTCTCTCCCTATTAGATCATTGAACTCTTACTTTCCAACATTCTTCCCTGCCTGTCTTTCTTGAGCTGTCTATGGAAACATGTTGTGAATTCTCTGCAACAGTGGCCAGTGCAGCTGTTATGTGAAGAAAGGGAATTCCTGCATATAACTTTAAGTGCTGGAAGCCTTCCTGTATTGTTAAGGGGATGCTGCAACCAGCACCATGCAAGTGCTCAGCTGGCAACTGGATCACTATTCTTGCCGCTCTCAACAAAAGTTGCTTGTATTGAAGGTGATTGTGTGGTCAGGAACTCTGGGCTTGCATGTGCTGGATACAGCAGCCACTGCCTCCATCTATGCCTCTTAGCATGTAAATTTATCCTCATGGTGCTCTATAGAAAGCATAGTCATAAGAAAGACCCAAATTTCTGCAGTACATACCACAATAACAATAAGTAGCAAAGGACTCAAGTCTCAAAACACATTGTATCACGGGGGTAAAATATAAACATAAGCTAGCTGACTACAGTTTCATGGGGAATACTGGATCTTAGTACTGTAATTATTAATCCTCCCAGGGAAAGAGAAAAAGAATTTTATTTAAAAAATTCTATTTTAAAACATGTCTTTTGGGTATAGAACCTGGGATTTCTCCTTATTTTCTGAAAAGTTAGTCATCTCTAGAGTTCATTAATTGTTGTGAAAAGGTGTGTGTGTTGCTTGTGGGTGGATGGTCTGATCCTTTTCTTTGTCTTGATCATGTCCTAGCAGGGCAGGGAAATAGAACACTATCTATTTATTTATCAATTTATACCTAAGTTAAGTAAGGATATGGATAACAATGGAAAGTTGGAAATGTGGATTGTTGATTTGATCAACAAGTGAATGTTGATTCCATCAACAAGTGTTGATGGAAAACTAAAGTTTTGCTCTTGTCAGCCTTTATCTGGAAGTTAGTCCTATGAGTTCTTGGTTGATGCTTCTTTTCTCATGACAGTAGTTGATGATAATATTACTATCAATCAAACGTAGCATACAGCATTCTAAAAAAAAAGTTTCTTCCCCTTTTTCCATCACTCACTCTCCAATGGTCCTCATTCTGTGCCATCCTTTTTGGACTTCTTCTGGTATCCATCCCTGCCTCCCACTACATATGATTCTCCTTTCCAATGAATGAATGAATGTATTTGCGCTTCTGAAAAACTTCTGAAAAGGTTGTTCAATCCTACTTAAACTTCAGCCTTGAATACAGATGGTGCAATTTCAGCTGCAGAAGAATTGGCACTCAGAGAATGATTTTACTAATAGTACATGAAAGCATGAAATTGTCGTGTTCCTTTGAATTTAAGATCCAGGTACTGCTGTTTTATTTTTTTAAAAATATTTTAAATATTCAGGTATATTTTTAGTACAGTTTACATATAACTCTTCTCTATCAACATTAAATTGCAAAACCCAGAATTTCTTTTTTTTACTCTTATGCACAGTAGAAAATACTCAGAACTTTTCATCTGTTTTATTCATCTGAAATACTGACTAGGCTATGTAAAATTGATTGCCTGGTCAGTGATGCATCTCCTAATCTTTGACATATTCTTTAAAGATACCATCCCTTCAAGGTATAACATATCCTCATGTCTGAGTTATCTCTACAGTGCTGAAAATGTATGAAAAACCATTAATTGATGCCCGGAATACTTCAAAACCTGTACAGTCTCTCCAAAACTAAAATACAAGTTAGCCCATAAACACTGTTCCTTAAAGAGATCTCTCAGCCATTGTGACAGCATTGCTTGCATTTGGAAGAATATCAAGGTACTAATAAATAAAACAATGGAGTAACTGATACTCACATGCTATGATTATTTGAAACAAACAAACAAGAAACCCACAAAACTAACACATACAGTCACAGATACTTGGTTTTAATGATCAAATAATTCATGGTTCATTTTCAGAGACATAAGCCACAAAAAGAAGATAAGCTTAAAATCCATATTAAATCCAGAAGCGTAAAGACATTTTATCACATTCAGTCTTTTGTACACATTAAATGAAACATGTGGGAGTGTAGAATTTTTAATTCAATTTATTTAAATTATTAAAAGCATAATTCATTTCCTTATTTTTAAAAAAAATCACATTTATTAAAATCATATCATTCCTTCATTAAGATCATATTCCTTGTTTTGCTCTTCACTTTTATTCTATTAAAATAGTCTGAGGACAGGAATGACCCTGTTGCCTCTTCTTCCCTGTGTGCATTTGCTTAAACCTTTCTGGACAGGAATTTCCCTGCCAGTTTTTATTTACATCTTATTCTCATTGCAGTCCATTTGCTTGATAAGTGATCAGCACATTCTTGTTAGTTAGTACTAAGGAACAAGCTGATTTGTTCATGTCCATTCTCCCAGTCTGTCTTAGCAACTCCCAGGTTCTGTTCAGATGGTTATATCTTTTTTCCTATGACTGCAATCAGAAATGGACCATACCAAAGAGCGATAATTAAATTACTTTAAAAAGTAACTTTCAGAGCAATATAATGGGGTAGTTTTCCTTTACCTCTTTCATGGATATTTATTTATCTGCAGGAGCTATGTAGTTCTTCTATGTAGCTACTCCCTGGTGATTACTATTTTATTCTCTCTGAATACTGTATGCCTTGTGACACCATCATTTGTTATCCACGACGCTCTGGACTGCTGCAAAATCTGGAAAATTTTGAGAAAATAAAACAGCAGCTGTCCTAGCAGTATTGGCTGGTATTACTACAGATGCTACAAGAACAGAACTAAAAGAAACACGGAGAATGTGCTGATCACAAACTGAGTGACTGGGATATAGTGAATATAACATTTAATTAAAAACTGTCCAGAAATTCCTGTCCAGAAAGCTTTAAGCAAAAACACACACAAGAAAGAAGAGATGGTAGTCTTAGTAAATATTCCAAAAGATGATGAGATTAATGATGTATAAGGAAAAGGTAGATGAAATGAAAAAGCACATCAAATGTTATTTTTAATAAATTTCAGTTTTGATTAAAATGCCTAATTAGAAAATAGAACACAATAGAAAAATGGTGATTAGATAAGAACACATAGGTAACATTGTTTACATATCAGACTAACCCTTCCCTTGTCTCTAAGAAAAAACTAAAGACAAAAACGTATAAAAAAGTTAATAACCAACATGGCTATTAGCTCATGGTTCATACTTTTCCCTACAACAAAACAATGGTTAAAGTCAGCCTTATTCAACAAGCAATGAGACAATTGTGTTACAAGTTGTCTTACATGTTCTTACCTCTTCTGTAGGTTAGTCAATGAATGTTCATCTATAAAATGTGTGCATTTGAAAATAAAATAAAACACTGCACAGAAATTCTTACACGGTGGGGTAGGGGAAATTATATAGAACTGGTACAAGCTCAGAGGTAAAGAAAAGAGACCTGAATGAGATCAAGTGTGACATATCTGTCCCTCTCTAATGTATTCCAAAACATACCACATTTTTCCTTAGTATCTGTCCTGCCATTTTCGCTCTGTGGTCCATTAGCTGTAGGATATGCTTTTTAATGTATAATTACTAATAAGAAACATCTGGTACATAAACTGAAAACTCTGATCTGACCACCTGCATGTCCTGGCATGGTTACCTTGCTCCCCAAGGAATTCAACATGAAACTCTTTTTTGCATTCATATTTTTATTTCTGTAGATAGGTTACATAGAAGCAAATTCCAAAGACTTGGGAAATATCTTGCAGCACTTAAACTGCACACCACAGATAATTGGCTTCTTCACAGCAGGGGTTCTTCAACTCTACTCCAGAAAGACAATCATAAGCAAAAATCCTTTCAGTGTTGCAATTCCCTGTAAAAGATTGACATACCTGAAGTTAATTCTAAATTATCATAACCAAGCACATTCAGACCTGGTAGATAGCTAAGCATGAAGAGTGAAGATTACCATACTGTCCCATCAGCTAGGACCTATTTTAAATACTGGCATAGGCTACTTATGCCTTTCCTTTGACCACCATTCCTGACTTGAACATTTAGCCTATAAAAATGCAGAAAACACTTGAGGAAAAGTTACTCCTCCTCCTGAAAAATCTAATAGCTGAAACTTGATGACACATGCAATCACCCTTGTACTTGAATCTTTCCATTGCCCAATCTCCAGCATTTCAGAACCTCACTTCTCTGTGTTAAATGAAGCCTTATCGGGCAACTGGTCCAAATTGGAAATTTGACTCCCTGTTGTCATGTAATCATTTGCAGAGTTAGCCTGCTTCAGTTCCCAGGCTCTGAAATTTCCACTACAGTCCTGGAGGTGAAAACATTGCTCCCTGATTAAGAATCAGACCTAGACTCTTAAATATTAAGACATTCCAAGATAGTTGAGCCAGTCTCCACACATCCATTAATCTAAAGGTTGCCTTTTCCTTTTCTTCCTTTCCCCCCCCCCCCGCCCCCGCGCTTTTTGAGAGCCCTGTATTCAGTTCCATGATTACAGAAGGAACAAAATTGAAGTCAGACATTCAAGGAAGATGTGTCTTTCTCCCTCCTTTTCTTTAGTTTACTTTTATACAGGGCCACAGTTGTGTGCCTGTGTGAGAGGTGAATCACCTAAAACCAGTGTAAACAGAAATTAGAGTTTCATAGCAAATATTCAGAAAACAACCCAGAAGGTTCAGGGTTTTAAGGGCCCCTGGGCAAGGCACCCCTTCTCTCAATGAGTCTAACAATTCACCACAATCTACTTTATGCCACCACTTGATTAGTTGCCAGGAGAAGAACAAACAGTGGCATCTGCTTCTTCTTCTCTTTGTCCAGGTGCAATGATTAAAAGGATGTGCAACTCCAAGAGGCCTTTGTCAGTCAGCCCTTGCTAGGGTATGTACCCTTGACAGGGACCCAACCATGCCTAGTATTGCTGGCAGTTCTTGTGCTGGAGACTGGGATATAGGTTACAAGTTGGGTACTTAAAACAGGGAATAATAGCTTCAGTTGCATGATAGCTTCAGTGTGGATATTCCAGTGAACAGAAAAACATGAGACTTAGGCCCCTCACCACCCTGCAACAGCCATCCATCTCCAAGGTAGTGGTACAACTCAAACTATTCACAGCATAGGATACAATACTATACCTATATTGTCAAAAGAATGCATTTGTAAAGGGCTTGGTCCTTGGAAGTAGCTGTCTGCATTTTGGACCCTAAATACACATAGAAAGCTATTAATAAAACATATTAAACCAGAAGGTTTTTAATTGATTTTTTCACTTTGTTTAATGTTATGCTATTTTTATTCTCTCTCTTCCTCTACTAGAGCCTAACACTTGAATATATTGAAGACAAGGAATGTAATAGCCTCTCATTAAATCCAGGTACTAGCCTACTCCTCCCTTTACAGGTTATGCACAGGGAGTAATTGTTCAAATATTAACATGTCCTTCCAGTACCTTCTCGTATCCCTATGTGAATAAGACCTGCTTATTCAACCTTAAGACAGGACAAGTTTTCCAGAGTATAAAAAATGTCTCTATAGCTTTAGGCGACACATTAAATCACCCAGTAATTTAAGCATGAAGAAAGATCTTCAGGGCAAAGTGCTCATTAGAAGCAGCTTTTCTCCTCAGCAGATCAGCACATCCTGTTCAAGCTGATGGAAAATACTTTTTGCCTTTTCAAGCCAACCTGTTTTTACATTATAGTCATTATGAATGACATTTTGACTTCTTCCACCTTGGCCAATATAGAAGATAAGCAGCTTGGGTCTCAGGCTTGCTGAGTCCTTCAAAGCACTGCTAATGGCAAATGGAGCTGTAGGTATAACACCAAAGACAACCAGGTTCTGTGTGGTAATTTTTTCCAGGTGCAAAGCTTATTTAACTTATGCTTAACTTAGTTCATCTGGGACCAAGCCAAAGCCATTAAAAAAAGGCTTGTCATGTATAATATTGAAAACTAAAGCAGCAAGAACCTCAGCAGATAAATCACCATTCCAAGAAACAAAGGCAAAACAAATAAGAAATCACTTGTAAATTAGGCCTGTGAACTGGTTGAAATCAAAATGGTTTTCCTGGAGTCAAATGGATTTATTGTATTTTATTAATTTTCAGCCAGAGTGGGTCTTCAGTTTATTTATTCTGTTAGCTGTCCAGAGAGGTTTCGTAATTGGACAGCATACAAATTTTATAAATAAATAAATAAATATTTCCTGGGGCAAGAAAGCTAGCAATCTGGATTGTCCAAAAGCAAATGAAAACCTAGCAAGTGTTTCAGTTTACAGTGAGAATGCAATACCATCCTAGAACATTGGGGAGCCTTAACCATGAATCAGTGCTGGTGTTGTTATTCAAGCTTCAGTGTTGTGACCCACATCCTGATCAGCAATATGGGTCCTTGCCTGTAAGAGGAATAGCCGGCTGGATCCATGAGAGCAGCAGCTGTGGATGTGAGGTACTGCAAAACAACTTGGGCCACAGAACCTTTAGCAATAATGGCTGATCCAGAGCCTGGCATATCAGGGGCTTTTTAGCTAGGGACTCTTCCTGAGTGGGGCTTCAAGAGCCTGTGTTCATATCCTGAAATCCCTGAGAAACCAGATGCCTAAATCCAGGACTCATCCCTGAGTAAACCTGTTAATACAGTTTACTCATATATTTATGGATAGATAGAGGAGGAAGAGTGCTAAGCTTCAAGCTTGAGCCTTCTCTTTCTATGGCATTTCACACTATGAGGAAGGAATGAAGGCTTGAATGGTGATGTGAACCTAGAAGCATAAACTATATCAGTCAAGCCATTCAAATGGTTGGGGAAAGCTGCTCCTTTGGAGCTGATATGTTTCATCATCAGAAGTCTTGGGGGATGACAAAAAGGTAGCAAATATAGTCAGTTCAGGCACAGCTTCATCACTTTGAAAAATAGAAAGGGTTTGGGTTAGGAATAGGGTTAGGGTTGAACCTCTAATCCTAACTCTAGCCCTAAGCTTAACTCTAACCCTAATCCAATATTGCTCAGTAAGATTTGTTGGCTGTCTAGTTAGACTCAGATACCAAACCTATTCAAGAACTGGAAATCCATTATCTTGAGTGTCCCATTGACTATTGTGAGAAACTTAAAAGATGGCTATAGCTTTGTTTTCTGATTGTTATGTACGAGGTTTCGGCAACGGGCGGCATAGAAATGTTATAATAATAATAATAATAATAATAATAATAATAATAATAATAATGTATGGATGATACATTGCAGGTATATTACTCCTGTGGAAAGGATTCCTGAAATTTGAGTTATTTCCCTCCTACATAATGCTTTTTGGAAATTTTATATGGCAACATCACAGATAAAAGTGTTGCCAGGCAAGACACCTCTTAAGTTTCATAATGCTAGGTACATAGACTAGGAAATTATGACTACAAATTGGTTTATGGCTTTTTTTCCATCCTGAAGCCTAGTGGCACTGGAAGTATCACCATCTTTGCAATATCCCAAGCATACTATGTAGAAATTTCCTAGTAAAATATACCCAGTGATTAGAAAATAGACCTGTCCATCAGTTAGTCCCTTATTAACATATTGAAAACTGAAGGCAAGCTGTTTTGGCAACACATTGACTGTCTCACTGAAGCAAAATTTCAAACATTGCTTTATACACTGGGAAGAGTATTTCACTTTGGGAAACACCAAAATGATCTGTGACAATCAAGTTCAGCTTGGGCTTCGGACAAATCCAATGCCCCTCCCCAGTAGTGGCCTAGGTCAGGAAATAGCTATCCAAAGAACAAACAAAAATGAGGCAGTGACACATTTATTATGGCCTAAGCTTCCTGAAGCCTACTGAAGAAAGAAGACAGCTTGAAATAATTCTGCAGAATGGCATGCTTCATCTGAAAAGAGATCAGGCCTTAGTTAAAGCATCAGTGCCCTGTATCTGAGTCATGCCATCCAAGGATGGTGATGGTGCCTCTGGAACTGGCATGGAGACCTGGAACTTGTAGAGTTTCCTGTGGAGTTTTGACATGTGGGTACTTTCAGTTGAGATATTAGTAGAAGACTCTGACAGATGATGGTAGGTAGGGGCAAAACCTTCTTTGCATTGTTTGCAGATGTATAACATGTGTTACAAAGTTACCAAAAGTACTAGATTTAACATTTAAATTCAGTTCACTGTGTATCTGAACTTTAATATGTAAGTATTAGCTCAATCTGAAAAAAATGCAGCATTACCTTTTTCCCACGATATATACCTTTGGCATACATTCAAGTAACATTAAACTGATCATAGACTCATCAGTGTTGTATGTTTCTACAGTAAGGATGAAATTTGCTCTTGTTGCAAATGCACAATGGCCCAAAACTGGGGGGAAAGAGTGGCTTTCAATCCTTCCTTCACAGATCTTTTGATCAGCCTGGCTAGAGAACAAACAACAAATTAGCCAATCTTTAGAGGAAGATCCTTTCATGCTATGAAAGATCAATCCTTCTTTATCATATGTGATCCTAATGTTCCTCTGTAAGTACAGCACCAATGTCTAGCACATATTCCCATCTCTTCTCCTATCACTTCCAAAAACACAAATATAGAGTGTCATTAACACAACTGTAGTCTGACTTAATATAATATGTATCAATGGGCTCTCATTTTCCTTTATATGGACTAAATACAGAATTTGAACCTTTTGGAAGTGTGCTAGCATAAACCATCTAACCAGCTTTTATTTTCTTGAAGGCCCAATATTTCTTCTTTTTCATGAAAGACTTCCACTGAAGTATACAACACCTGCAACTGTCAACTCCCACTTTACTTCTAAACTAGCTGACTACTTTCTTAATAGAAGTCATTTTTTCTCACATTCTCAGCTCAAGTGTTATTCAATTCTTCACATTTTTAGTACTTTAAAAATAAATGCACTGATGTTAGTTTTAATTAATTGCTATCTAAGATGTCGACTGCATTAAAAGTGGTATCCTATACACAGTTACCTTGGAGTAAGCTCCATGAACTATGAATAGACATACAAGATTGTGATGAAGTCTGTAATAGTCTGGACCAAACTAGAACCTTTAGCTATTTATAATGCTTTCCACTAAGTTTTCTACTTCTTCCATTTGATCCAAATAAAATATCTCATCCTACCCCACCCCTCCACAACAGTTTTAGTGGTTAACACTGTGGAAGCAGAAGTGTAGAGATAAGCTTGTCATTCTCACACAGTATCTCTGTTCACTTCATATGCTTCCTGGGTGACAAAATGCTGCTATGGTATGTTCCAAGTTGCAGGAACATTGAGAAATGGAATTTTCTGAATTGGCTGTTGCAAATATCTATAACAGATTCCTTGGGAAAATAACATTTTCCAGGATCTCTGGTACTGAGACGGTGTTGTAGTCCTATGTGTTCTAGATGTAATGTGTGATGGAGGAGGAGGAAGAAAGGAGATGTAGGAGAGGGGGGTGAGAGTGAGAGAGAGGGATGGAGTGGGGGAGTGAGTGAGAAGGGAGCATCATGCTTCTTTACCTACTTTCATCCTTTACTGCTGTAAGTGCAGCAACCAGTGCAGCCACCTGGAAAGAGAAAATGGGGTTCAGGGGAAAGTTTCAGGTAAGCTTATGAGGAAATGTAGACCTCTTTTAAAAATATTTTTTCCTCAAGCACCTTTCAGTGTCATTTAATGTTGACACTCTCACTCATAACTTGTTTTTGAGCCTGGGGGAATTAAGATAGCCATTTGGCAGCCTCGGGTAACTCACAACTAAGAATACTTTAATGTTACAGATTCAAGTCCTGGCTAACCTGACACACATACATGGAAAGGATGAGGCATGAATGTAACAAACCCAGAGGATGAGATTCAAATCCTTGACCTCAACTTGCTCCCCACCCCACCAGCTCCTCAGAGTCTTTGCATGCCACTGTGGCAAACTTACAAGGCAATTTGCTCAGGTCTACCAGCTGAAGGTTTTTTTTTCCAATGGAAATTGATATAAAATTCACATTTCTAAAACATTCTGGCTTCCAATTTATTCTCACAAAGGATTTGGCTAGCCAGGGACTCATGTTACTCAATGGACTATGAGTCTCAAGGGGATATCTGATTAATAACTTGATACTTAAATAGCTCCATTTCCCTTGGTGGTTGTTAGTGGTTGAAGGAGCTTCAGGGTTCAATACCATAATGTTAATAAAAGTAGGTGTAGTTGTCATAGATGATAATGCCACAAGAAATCAGGAATCACTGATTTTAAATGCAAGTAAAGTAAGTCTTGCTCTAAATCAAAATACTGCCTTGCAGAGCTTCACTCTCCAAAAGTGATAGATAGATAGATAGATAGATAGATAGATAGATAGATAGAATTACTTTTTTTCCTTTAAAGGCAAAACAACAACAAAATCAATGCTGGTGGATTAATTTCAAAGAAGTTTACTCTTGACTTTTTTATTAGCAGGGTTTCTCTAGATAACACTGAGTGTGATATTTTTGTTGTACTTGGTAGCTTAATCAATTAATAAAAGTCCATAAAAAGCAGTAAGTTGTAATTGCACCTTCAGCTATTCTTTAACATTTGACCACACAAGGACTATACTTACATCTAAAACCATGTATCAGTTGGAATGGCTCAGGGCAAAGGAAGTTTTAAATAGTTGTGCAGAAAGCATTTCTTTCTCTAATGTTTAACATCTTCTTCGCCTCAAGGCAAAGCAGTAACTGTTCTTTTTAACCACCAACATATCTATTATTTCTATATCAGCGGTGTATGGTAAGAAACAATAAAATACACCTGATGTAGCGGTTATTGATAATCACTTGGAGTTACATTATATACATGGGTACCCTCAAATATTTCATCTGTTCACTGCAAAGGGGATATTTAAACAACGATGTGTTTATTGTCTTTGATGGCAGATGATTTTGTAGGTAAAAGACTGCCAAAGGCAATTAAGACCACCCTGTAAGAGATGTAGCATAACCCCTCCCTCCTAACAAAATCATATTAAAGCTATTGACTACAGAGTACACACACACACACACACACACACACACACACACCTGATGACATAGACATAAAACTGAGGGGAACTACAGGAGAAGTTGGGCCAACACCCTGGTCTGTGAATATATTTGTGCAGACAATTCCATCCACCATTTTTCTTTAATCTGCAGCTCACCTCAAGTAATCAGGCATCAGGAAAAATAGTGTCTGTCTGTCTGTCTGTCTGTCTGTCTGTCTGTCTGTCTCAAAGTACAATGAAATAGTGGCACAATTAGCAATGCCACACACAAGAATTAACTGCCAGAGTAAGACAATAGATATAGATATATGAGAAAAAGTCTACAGGCATGCACAGTTCTGTGTGTGTGTGTGTGTGTGTGTGTGTGTGTGTGTGTGTGTGTGTGTGTGGCGAGGTGGTAAGAAAAGCCTCAGAGTCAGAGGCATCGTTGAAGTTTTGAAATATTTTAAATTGGAAATGAATTGAACAAATGTACACAAAACTGCACAGCTCTTCTGAACATAACTATTTTTGTATGAAATAAGTGTGTGTTCAGGTTGTGGTAACAGGGAACAGTTATCCATGCTGAATAGTGAAATTACCTTTTCAAAACTTTTCAGTAAGTTTGACAAGCTTTAATGTATTCAGTCCTGCAGGGGATTTTTGCTTAAAATAAGAAAATGACAACAACAACATTATACACCTTAGTTTATACATATAATATTGTAGTTGTCTTTTCTTCTGTAGAAGCCTGGCTATGCCAAACAAGAATTTTATTCTACTTCAGAGTAGCTAGCCCTAATAAACTATTCAAGGAATGTTTTCCACAGAAATAAGCTCTATTCTTAATGTAACTGCTTAAAAGTGCAGGCTTCCACAAAGTCTGTGGAAAGAGTATGTAAGGCAGAAGGCAGTCTGTACCTTCTTGTAGGGCAGCCAACAAATGAAATACTACATGGTAGGTTGCAACTGCTCCTAGAGCATATGAGAAATGCCTACATGTGGTATCAGCCACTTCTCCAAGCCCCCTCCACAAAGGAATGGTGTCTCTTGCTGTAAACCTACATTCCCCACTACTGTGTCCTCAGAAACAAATGGTTTCCCATCCCTGCCACAAGGGCCTACTAAGCTGGAATGCCTACCACATACTAAGTGGTAGCAGGAGCCCACAGGAATCATACTTCCATCACTCCTCAGGTTGCCTAGGAGAAAATCAACTAGCTCGTTGAATAGATCCTGACCCTAAGCGACTACAATATTATGTACATTGTAACCAGTTAAGGTTCTGATCCATTATCATCCAAGAAGATGACTATGTGTCTCTTTTGCTTGTCCCCATTTGTTGCTGTAGGTGCAAAAATTTTCGTGCAGCCTTAAAATGTTCAAGTGATAGCCTTTTCAGCTTCTTGGTATCCTAATGGACAAGAAGCCTGTACTCCATATAGAGTACAGTGATGCCCACTGCCTCTAGGCTGTGAAAGAGTCATCTAAGGATTTTTGAACCTGCTTCTACCCAGTGCTACTACAACATTCAAACCACTACAATGCATAATATTTAGGAAAATGTTTTTCAAGAGAAAAAACCCATGTCTGAACATATATTCAACTGTTTTTGGTTCCTATTCATGTTAATAGTATAGTTCAGGTTACTTTTCCTTGCCGATATTTTTTACTTTTCCACTGTTATAATGTGACAAACAACATTCCAAGCTGTGATTTCCTCCATTTAAAATCCAAGCCGAATACAAGTAACTAGGTCCAGTTCACTGAACCCACTTGAGCTTTCTTTTATAGCACCCGTCATCAAACTAGAGTATAGCTATTACTACATTTTTTTTCTACATAAAAAGAGATTCAGAATAGAATGTTTTGGTAAAAAGTATGTTTCTTTTAACTAAAAGAGGTGAAGGTGTGATAATTGTATGCTGGCAATAATAATGTACATTTCTGTACAAATAATAAAAAGCAGAATCTGGAATTTATCTTGACCTAGAAGGTAGCACAAGTTTGAAGAGTTTTAAAAAGCAAAACCATGCTTGCAAAGCATGGCAGACATTTTTACATGGCAAATATGCCACGTGAAGCCAGATTTGTTCTCAATATCCTAGTATAATATTTGTATTATATTATTATACTATTATATTGCCTCAGAGCCAAATTAAATGTTCTTCTAATCACACAGAGAGAAACTCTACAACGGTGTAAAGGTATATAGCAAAAAGTGAAATTGGGAATACAGTATTCCAGAGTGTGGAGTTCCATCTTATCATGACCCATCTTCTCCACCCCATGAGTTCAACTCATGCAACCATGGCAGGGGATTAAAATGGTAATCTCCATTAACTCAAGCAGATTTTATTTTTAAATATACCTGCATGTGTGAAGGTATGGAATTTCAAAAACATGCAAAGGAAAAGGTACCTCACCTCACAGAGAAGCAAGGTTTTGATCCAAATCAGGGATGCATGTGCTAACACTAAAGAGCATATTACACACAGCTCCACTACGTATAATCAGAAGAATTTTTAGAACGATGCACAGTGACTGGTAGGAAGGATATCTCCTGCCAAAAGAAAATGCTGAAGTTCTCAAGCACTAAGCCTTGGGGAGTACTGAGTAACTTAATCTCACCAGAGGAAACTTGAAATGGAAGTAAATTATGTTTCAATGCTGAAACATCTGTCATATCTGAATAAAGGTTTTGGAAGGAATCCCAAGTATACTTAGCCATGAGAAAAAATTGGAATCCAATAGTGCAAAAAGGGTTCCTTAGGTAGGCACTCTAGCTGAGTTCAGACTTGGTGATAAACCAGGGCTTAACATTATATGAGTGACTCTAAGCAAGCCTTGGGCATGTGCAGTCAGAGAGAACCATGGTCAAAAGGGGTCTGAGAGCCTCTTTAGTTCTCCAGTGTGGCCATGAGTTCAGAAGAAATCACATCAGCTTTTGATGAAACACCATTCAGCCTAAGGTTTGAACATTAAACTTAACCTCTGCTATGGTTTATTGAAGAAATCCACATTCATAAACAGTAGTTTGAAATTTATATGTTGCTGCTTCAAACTAATTATAGTTTTTAAATTAGTTAATGGCTTAAAAATAAATGTGTGTTTAGATTAAACATTAGGTTTCCTTCATTTTTTAAAAATGGAAATATAATCTTCCAAACTCACAGTCATGGCTTTCCTAGAAGGACATGTAAGAATAACATTTACAAATGCTCATGCACCTAATCCTGGGCCATAGCTTAGGCTTCACCTTTGAAATCAATCTCTGCAAAGTTCTACTCGACCTCTTGAATATGTGTACACGTTTAATTTACTAGGAAAAAATATCCAATTCATGCAACCTTGGCTAAAACTGTACTGAATCTGCTAGCAAACATTTTCCGCCCTTAGATCATCATCAATTTTGATGGTGAACATTCTTTCATTGCACAAATAAGCATCACGTATTCAAAATTCACCATCAGCATTCAGACATATTATTGTATCAACTTTTGTTCATACATGCCAGTTTGCAGGTAAAGGCTTTCACTACTTGACAGCCGACTTGGTAATCGATAGAATCTGA